AATCCCCAAATTAAAATCATTCATGTGTTATTAGTGTTGAAAATAAAATAAATTTTTTTTATTTTTTTATATGAATTAGTGAAAAAAAATATATGATGTGCTAGGAAATTTCGTTCACACATAAAAGACACATCGATAGAGATCTCCTTTATCTTGTTGCAATAATTCACTGTTTTTTTTCTATAAATGATTTATTAGTCTTGAATAGAATTAATTTAATTGTTTTAAAATTAACATTTGAGTAAGCTCCTCCAATTGCTTCTTCAAACCCACTGCTTGGCTAATTTGCACACCAACAAGGGAAGTAGCAAGTGAAATTGCTTTGGGAATTGCAGCCCCTATGACAGGGCTAAGGATGATGAGGACGATTTCAGCCATTATGCTTTGGAGACACCAAGAATGACTGCAAGTACAAACAAGTTTTTAGAAAAAGTGTGTTGTAAGTGTAGGGCAAGGTAACAACTGGCTTAAAGAAATCTTGAATGTTATCTCGAGCTAAGGATAAGCACAGGAAGCAGCCAACCACCCTGAAATCAACCCTCAGCACATCAACATTGATTATTAATCCTAAGTTCCTAACTTTTGAATTGTCAACTACGTGTTTTTTGATTTTATGATATGCTGGGAAATTTCGTTCACACATAGAAGACACATCAATAGAGATCTCCCTTGTCCTATTGCAATAATTCAGTGTTCTTTTCTATAAATGATTTATTAGTCTTCAATAGAATTAATTTAATATTTTTCAAATTAACATTTGAGCAAGCTCATCTAGTTGTTTCTTCAAACCCCCTGCCTAGTTGATCTAGGCACCAGCAAGTGAAGTAGCAAGTGAAATTGCTTTGGGAATTGTAACCTTTATGATAGGGCTGAGGAAGATGAGGACGATTTCAACCATTACGCTTTGGAGACACCGAGAATGATTGTAAGCACAAACAAGTTTTTAGAGAAAGTGTGTGTTGTGAGTGTAGGGCTAGGCAACAACTAACTTAAAGAAATCTTGAACGTTATCTCAAGCTAAGGATAAGTATAGGAAGCAGCCAATCACCCTAAAATCAACCCTCAGCACATCAACATTGATTATTAATCCTAAGTTCCTAACTTTCGAATTTTCAACTACACGTGTTTAGATTTTATGATGTGCTGGGACATTTCATTCACACATAGAAGACACATTGATAGAGATCTCCCTTGTCTTGCTGCAATAATTCAGTGTTCTTTTCTATAAATGATTTATTAGTCTTGAATAGAATTAATTTAATATTTTTCAAATTAACATTTAAGCAAGCTCATTTAGTTGTTTCTTCAAACCCACTGCTTGGTTGATCTGCGCACCAGCAAGTGAAGTAACAAGTGAAATTGCTTTGGGAATTGCAACCTCTATGATAGGGCTGAGGAAGATGAAGACGATTTCAACCATTACACTTTGGAGACACCGAGAATGACTGCAAGCACAAACAAGTTTTTTGAAAAAGTGTGTGTTGTTAGTGTAGGGCAGGGCAACAACTAGCTTAAGGAAATCTTGAACGCTATGTCGAGTTGAGGATAAGTATAGGAAGCAACCAGTCACCCTGAAATCAACCCTCAGCACATCAACATTGATTATTAATCCTACGTTCCTAGCTTTTGAATTTTCAACTACACATTTTTAGATTTTATGATGTGTTGGGAAATTTTATTCCCACATAGAAGACACATTGATAAAGATCTCCATTGTCTTATTGCAATAATTCAATGTTTTTTTTCTGTAAATGATTTATTAGTCTTGAATATAATTAATTTAATTTTTTTTCAAATTAACGTTTGAGCAAGCTCCTTTAGTTGCTTCTTCAAACCCACTACCTGGCAAATCTCCGCACCAACAAGTGAAGTAGCAAGTGAAATTGCTTTGGGAATCACAACCTCTATGACAGGGCTAAGGAAGATGAGGACGATTTCAACTATTACGCTTTGGAGACACCGAGAATGATTGCAAGCACAAACAAGATTTAGAGAAAGTGTGTGTTGTGAGTGTAGGGCTGGGCAACAACTGGCTTAAAGAAATCTTGAACGTTATCTCAAGTTGAGGATAAGTATAGGAAGCAGCTAATCACCCTGAAATCAACCCTTAGCACATCAACATTAATTATTAATCCTAAGCTCCTAACTTTTGAATTTTCAACTATACAATTTTAGATTTTATGATGTGTTGGGAAATTTCGTTTAGACATAGAAGACACATCGATAGAGATCTCCCTTGTCCGTTTGCAATAATTCAGTTTTCTTTTCTATAGATGATCTATTAGTCTTGAATAAAATTAATTTAATTTTTTTAAAATTAACATTTGAGCAAGCTCCTCCAATTGCTTCTTCAAACCCATTGCCTGGCTTATCTATGCACCAACAAGTGAAGTAGTAAGTGAAATTGCTTTGGGAATCGCAACCTCTATGACAGGGCTAAGGAAGATGAGGACGATTTCAGCCATTACGCTTTGGAGACACCAAGAATGACTACAAGCACAAACAAGTTTTTAGAGAGAGTGCATGTTGTGAGTATAGGGTAGGGCAGCAACTGGCTTAAAGAAATCTTGAACATTATCTTGAGCTGAGGATAACTATAGCAAGTAGTCAGTCACCCTAAAATCAACCATCAACACATCAACATTGATTATTAATCCTAAGTTCTTAACTTTTGAATTTTCAACTACGCATTTTTAGATTTTATGATGTGCTGGGAATTTGTTCACACATAGAAGACACATCAATAGAGATCTCCCTTGTCTTGTTGCAATAATTCAATGTTATTTTCTGTAAATGGTTTATTAGTCTTGAATAGAAATGATTTAATTTTTTTAAAAATTAATGTTTGAGCAAGCTCCTCTAGTTGCTTCTTCAAACCCACTGCTTAGCTGATCTACGCACCAGCAAGTGAAGTAGCAAGTGAAATGACTTTGGAAATTGTAGCCTCTATGACAAGGCTAAGGAAGATGAGGACAATTTCAGCCATTACACTTTGGAAACATCGAGAATGACTACAAGAACAAACAAGTTTTTAGAGAGAGTGTGTGTTGTGAGTGTTGTGAGTGTAGGGCAGGGCAACAACTAGCTTAAAGAAATCTTAAACGTTATCTTGAGCTAAAGATAAGTATAAGAAGCAGCCAGTCACCCTAAAATCAACCCTCAGCCCATCAACATTGATTATCAATCCTAAGTTCCTAACTTTTGAATTTTCAACTATGCGTGTTTAGATTTTATGATGTGCTTGGAAATTTCTTTCACACATAGAAGACACATTGACAGAGATCTCCTTTGTCCTGTTGCAATAATTCAGTGTTCTTTTCTATAAATGATTTATTAGTCTTGAATATAATTAATTTAATTTTTTTCAAATTAACATTTGAGCATGCTCCTCTAGTTTTTTCTTCAAACTGATTGCCTAGCTGATCTGTGCACTAGCAAGTGAAGTAGCAAGTGAAATTGCTTTGGGAATCGCAACTTCTATGATAGGGTTGAGGAAGATGAGGACGATTTCAACCATTACGCTTTGGGGACATCGAGAATGACTACAAGCATAAACAAGTTTTTAGAGAGAGTGTGTGTTGTGAGTGGAGGGTAGAGTAGCAACTGGCTTAAAGAAATCTTAAATGTTATCTTAAGTTGAGGATAAGTATAGGAAGCAGCCAATCACCTTGAAATCAACCCTCAGCACATCAACATTGATTATTAATCCTAAGTTCCTGACTTTTGAATTTTCCACTACGCATTTGTAGATTTTATGATGTGTTAGGAAATTTCGTTCACACACAAAAGACACATCAATAGAGATCTCCCTTGTCATGTTGCAATAATTTAGTGTTCTTTTCTACAAATGATTTATTGGTCTTGAATAGAATTAATTTAATTTTTTTTTCAAATTAATGTTTGAGCAAGCTCCCTTAGTTGCTTATTCAAACCCACTGCCTGGCTAATCTGCACACAAACAAGTGAAGTAGCAAGCTGCACACAAACAAGTGAAATAGCAAGTGAAATTGCTTTGGGAATTGCAGCCTCTATGACAAGGCTGAGGAAGATGAGGACGATTTTAGCCATTACACTTTGGAGACATCGAGAATGACTGCAAGCACAAACAAGTTTTAGAGAGAGTGTGTGTTATGAGTGTAAGGCATGGCAACAACTGGCTTAAAGAAATGTTGAATGTTATCTTGTGCTGAGGATAAGTATAGGAAGCAGTTAGTCACCCTGAAGTCAACTCTCAGCACATCAACATTGATTATTAATTCTAAGTTCCTAACTTTTGAATGTTCAACTACGCATTTTTAGATTTTATGATGCGTTGGGAAATTTCATTCACACATAGAAGACATATTGATAGAGATCTCCCTTGTCTTGTTGCAATAATTCAATGTTCTTTTCTATAAATGATTGGCTAAATTTAACTTTTCATATACTAACTATTATTCTATTTTCATTTTGGTCTAAATAGTTTAATTTCTTTCAAATTCATCTATAAACTATGAAAATTATTTCAGATTCATCTATCTAGCTAACTTCCATTAGTTTTTTTTAACGGAATCTTATGGCATGATTATGTGACCAGTTACGTGGCATATGCAATTTTGAAAAATTGTACTTCTTCCTCTTTTTTTTTTATTTGTACATCTTAATAATGTTTTCATTTTTTGCATGGTGAGATTTTTTTCTTTTTTTTATTATTTTTATTTTTGTAATAAATCTATATCTTTTAATTTTGATTAACAACTAAAAAAACCATCATTGTCATTATTAGAATGAAATTATATCATTTTCTTTTAATGTTAGTGCAAATTAGTTTTGATTCCTTAAAAAAATTAGAGTTTCAACATATATTTAGAAACTAATTTAAAAACTTAAATTCTAATTCAAAATTAAGAATTTAATTAGTTTCTAAATCTAAATATCAATATTTAATAAGATTAAATTTTAAATTTTAAATTACGTTTTAATTAAATAAAATGAAGTAATTTAAAGTTAAAACTTTATCTTTTTTGAAGTCGAGATTGATATGCATTTTTTCTCTTTTCTTATTTAGTTCAAAAAATTAATTTTTATTTGTACTCTCTCTTTCTTAAAATCATTTTTTTAAATTTAAAATTTAAAAATAATTTATGTTTACTTGTATTACCCTTAAAAAGAAAAAAAAAAAAGATGAAGAGTTACATTTTGTGATGGGATGATTAATTAAAGTAAATAAATAATAACAAATATATATTTTTTTACTTTAACCTTATTATTATTTATTTACTTTAATTAATCATCTCATCACAAAATGTATCTCTTCATCTTTTTTTTTTCTTTTTATGGATAATATAAATAAACATAAATTATCATTAAATTTTTAATTAATTTTTTTAAAAAAAAGTTATTTTGAGAAAGGGATAGTA